ATTTTTTTTTCTTGTTTAACAATAAAAGTTAGAAAATAATAACGCGACCTCTTTAATACCTAAATTTTGAAGTTTTGACTCTTTAAAATTTTTGAAAACTTTAATTCCAAAAAGAGAGAGAAAAAAAAAACACTCCACTTATATTTGAGTACTTTCTCTCTCCAATTATTATAGCTATTATTGGATTTTATTTTATAGTATTATGGATTTGTTTGGTCGGTGCCCTCTAATCAAAATAAACCATATAACAATTTCATGAGCCACTTTTAATATATATATTTCATTATTCACCTTCACTTCACCTACCGAAACCATATTGATTTCGCACCAACAACTTTTAATAGAAAAATAATGTCACATGTATTCGTTTAATTTATAACTTGCATGAAGAAAATTATTATTTATTTTTTTAGGTGAATTCAAACAATTCGCTTTAAATATCATAAGAATTTGACCCATCATAGATTTTGGGTATCTGTCATATTTGTAAATATAGCACAATTTTTTAATTTGGTAAATATGGTAAAAATTTTAAAATCAAACTTTTTCATTTTTTTTCGCTATTTCAACTTTTTATCTGTTATTTTTTAAAATCGATAYACTTAATATAAAATACATCACTGATATACTTAATATTACATTAATTAGTTATATAATCGATATACCGAATATTAAGTATAACTAATATATCATATATGAATATAATGTACATCAAACATACTAAATATATGAATGGTATACTTCATATTATGTGTATTACCGATAAATCTTTTTCTAGATAAAGATGTTGGTTTAAGTAACCTTGCCAGTTTCTTATTATTATATAAAGTATATCGCTGATATACTTTATTTTATGTATTTACTTTTCACTGAATTTAATGCATAAGTTTWAGAGGTAAAGCATTTATTTTATTTTTATTTTTCAATTGATACAACCAGGTTGAAAAGTAATTACCACATAATCCCATTTTTCAATCAAATATCCATCTCTTTATAACCACAATTTTTTTTTTCTCTTTTTATAGTTCTTGTGGTGTTATGCAATCTATCTATCCTATCTCTAGAGAGGATATAAAATATAAATTTTGAAAATAAATCAATAAAAGTTTTGTAGAATATGGACACTTTTTTTAATGAGATAATTAATTATGTGGCTATGATTAAAAAAAATCCCAAAATTATATCTATGATTTACTGAAAAAATAATAATAATAAATATGTGGCCATGAGGTAGTAGGCGGTGAATTAGAGATTGTTGGGGTTGGTTAGGTTGTATATGTTTTTTATGACTAAAAAATAGCCCATACTCTCTCAAGATTTAGTTAATTACTTTTCATTTTGGTCCTTTTAACTTGTAAATTTTCACATTTGGACCCCTAACTTTGTTCAAATTTCACTTTTAGTCCTTATAAAAGTGATGGTCTAACTACGGCATGTGAACAACAAATAATGTTTGATGTTTTAGTGAGTGGATTTGGGTTGTTTTTTTTATCTTGTTTCTCATTTCTTGTTGTTTTAATATAAAGAAAAGACGGATAGTAATTATTTTTTATTACTTGTTTTTTTTAAATCTTATTTCTTTTTTTTATGGAAAAACGAAATTGAAACATATTTAGTAACCTTTCTTATTTTTTTTTAATATTTATTATGCATGTTATAATTCAATAATGATAAAAGAAAATTAAAACTTTAAATTATATTTTTTTTAAATGCAAATAAGAAAAAGAAATAAGAAACTTTGATTTTATTGTTTCCAAAATTTCTCTAAACAATTTTATAAACGTTTTTGAGAAACAAGAAATAGAAAACTCTTGATCATGTCTTTCAAAATTAATAAAAAAAAAAACAAGAAATCAAGCTCTTCGTTTTTAGTTTGTCATTCCTAACTTTAGTGATAATTTAATATAGTCTCCGAAGATAAAAGTCTTATATTTAAATTTCTATACCTACAGCCTAAAACCAACTAAATCTTAAAATTAGTTTAGTTTTCAAATTATCTACCCCATATCTCATGTGTTGTACTAAAAGAAGAAAAAAGTCTTAAAATTAAGAAAATTAAGTTTCTCAAAAAAATTAAAATAATAATAATATTATTAACAAAAAGAAAAAAAGGGGCGGACGATGGGTCCCACTCCCAAACTGAGACGAAGCCATCATTGAATTGAAACCACAAATCGTTTCATGATTTCCAGAGAGCGAGACGCTTGGACTTGGCAACCATTTGTTGTTAGGTTACATTGAATTTTCAGCAAAACGACATGTCGTCTGACTTTTTAGCTACAAAATAAAATAATTCCCAGTACTTTATTTTTTGTCCTTACAAGGAAAATTATTAAATTCGAACTAACATATTATTGGATTACAAAATAATTAATTTGTCCATTTAATAAAGAGAAGGGCGGCTGCAAGATTAGCCACCCAATTCCTATCTCCATCACTTTCATTCTAAATTTTATTATGAATTTTGGTTTTAGTTTAGATTTATTAATATCTCTATCATCTTTATAATTTAGTTCAAATACTAGTTTATTCCATGGTGCACTTTTTGACTTTTGTTCATTTTGTCCTCTGTACTTTCAAATTTTGTTTATTTTAATCACTGTATTTTCAAAATGTTTGTTTTGATCCGTATGCTTTATAAAGTGACCAATTTTATCTCTATTTGCAAAATATTAACCCAAAATTTATATACGATGAAAACCTTTTGATACAAATTTATGACTACAAAAAATCAAATAAATGGACAAATTTATGATTACATTTTAAGAAATTCAATGAATGGACGAAATTATCACTTTTTTAAAGTATCCGTTTCAAAAATATATAAAGATCAAAATGAACAAAAGTGAAAACTACAGAAACTAAAAATAGACGTGACGTTTTGAAAGTATATGAACCAAAGTTAGTACAAGGACTAGAAGAGTATTTAAATTTTTTTTTAATATATAAGAAATAAAATAGTATTTAAACCTTCCAATTTTAAAAAATTAAACTAGTCCTAAAGCGTTAGGATCATTAGCAATTACTTTACATCCGTCGCTTTCTTTTAAGAGCTCCTATTTCTTATCCACCATACATACTTTTATGGGACCAAAGACATTAAAAAAGATAAATCAAATTAAAGAATTCGAAATATAATTTATAAGATAAGAAATTTAATGAAATACTAATAAGAATATGCCACAATCAAAACAATAAAGTTGTATATGTTATTAAAGAAACGGAAAGATAAGGCAAGTCAAGTTCAAGCTTAAATTATTTAATTTTTTTAAAAAAATAGAAAGAAAAAGGTTCAAGCTTAAACTTAAATACAAAGATTAAAGGAAGTTATTTGGCCCACTAATTACTGAGCCTTTACTCTTTGCACCATTTTATTGGACAATAAAAGGGGGCGGTTGCTTTCAATTAATTTTATTATGTTTAGATTCCATCTAATCAATCCTTCATCACTTTTCTGTAAGTATGTTATTTTTAATGTTAATTTGGTGGAATATTTAAGCCCCATATCTTTTCTTTTAAGTATTTTTGTTTCGTTTTGCTTGTTAGTATCCTATTGATTCTATTTTATAGAAGCAACAATACAATATATTGTAATACAGAGGTAATCATTATAATCAAGCACAACCATTAAATTAGACGAAAAAAATAAATTTAACAAGAACCCGACCCACAAATGCAACATGGTAATCAAACATCTATTTCGAAGCAATTATCGTATCGAGGCAACTAATATTTCAAGAAGGAATTCGTACCAAAAAGTATTAATTAATTAATACTTCAAAAAAAAAAAAGAAACGTTATATTAAGAAACCAAATCTACTAAAACAACGGTTATATAAGGACAATATTAAATGACACCATTGTTATAAACAAAACGATATATTAAGCCAACATGATCTTAAGCTCAATGATTAAGATTATCAGTTCGGTAGGTCGGCTGGTTGGAAAACCCATACTTAAAAATTAAAAAAATTAAAGAAGAGCAGGGCAAGGGCCATGAGTTTGCCGGTGAGGACGGGATGCACTGGTGGGAACTGGAAGTCGCAAGAAGAAAAAAGTGGGACCGTGTGCGATGAGAAATGAGGAGAATGAAAAGAATGGAAGGGAGAGGAGACTGAAAGAAAATGAGATAATGAGGAGGAAAAAATATAAATAAAAGTTTTTTTAAAAAAAAAAGATAATTAAAAATGAAGAAAAAAGATCACTTAAAAAAAAGTAAAAAGCCTAAAAAATTTAGCAGTAGCATTGAATGCATTCTGCATTTTTTTTTTCTCAGTGAAATAAGTGGGCGATTGATCAGAAATCACTTTTTCGGTCAAACCAACCAATCATGAATCAGTGATCTTTTATGCTCACTCCTAGTCCTAGCGAATTGTGATTGTAAAGAACAATAGTTAATTACCCAACTCAGAAAAGAGGGCAGGCTAGAAAGTAAACAAATTTCCAAAAAGATTGAGAAGTTAGCAATTTCACAAATTCCACAATTAATAAAAAGTGCTATTACTAAGTGAAGAAGGGTCATGTATCAATATCAATATCGCACATTGAAAACTAACCAAAAACCCTAGAAATATTGGAATATATTCTAGAAAAATTTAAATTATTGAGGAAAAAGGGGAATGAAAAAGAAGAGAAGAAAAATACCACCTAAATCAGTTACTTGGCCATATTTGGGTACCCAGCTTTCAAATCACAAAACAAGTAGAAGAAGGTAAATAACGATTGGCAAAGGTTGAAAAAGAAGTTCACAGTACAAATCTTGTCCGGTAATATTTTTGTTTCTCATCTTTCCTTACTAGTTTTCTAAAAATAACAAAATTGTGTAGAAATTTTAAAAATAATAAAATAAAATTTCTTGTTTGTTTATTTCTATTTCCATATTAATTTTTTTATACAAATTTCCCGTTTTTTTAAAACATATATAAAATATTATTATATTGTTTAAAATGCATAATAGTATCAAAAACTAAATATAATATTAAAATTTCTACACTCTCTAATCTAATATTTTGGATAAACAAGAAGCAAAAAATGCTTAATGTTACCAAACAGATCCTCAATAACATAAAATAAGGTATGAAATGTAGCATCAAGGCAAGGTTTCAAAGGCTCGGATGATGAGAAAACATAAGACCGATATCAATATCATATACCGAAAACAACCAATTCTTATAAAAACAGCCAAGTATCAAATGAAAACCTATGACCCAAAATCAACGACCATCAACATCTCTAAAGAAGAGTTCAAAAGAGACAGCAAAAATAATAGAAAGCAGCAAGAGAGCAAACCCAAAGAAAAAGAGACCCAACACAGAAGATATAGGCAATGCAAAAAAAAAAAAAAAAGCACCTGAGACTGAGAGAATAGGAAGAGAAGTAGAAGCAAAGAGGCTATATTTTTTTCGTTTTATGACTGGGAGTCGGAGCTTAGCTCCCCGAAGAGGCTATATCAAAATAACAATCGTTAAAAGCAATTGTTATCTCAACACAGGGGAGGCTATATAGCTTTTATGGTTAACAATTGTTATATCGAAATAACCATTACAAGCCAACCCCGATAAGTTTAACAAACAATATATAAAAAGCAATTGTTATCTCAAGGCGACCGATATATCATGTATTAAATCAAGTCATATACTATTGGGAAGCACGAGCTAACTCAAAATAATCGATATCTTGAGGAGACTATTATATCAAAGCAACCGATATTTCTAGGCAGCATTATATCCAAGCAATCAATATTTCAATATGGTCATGACATCAAGAGGAAATCAATATTTAAATACAACTATTACATCAAGAAACTATTATGTTAAGGCAACAAATACAAGACAATCATTATGTTAAGGTAACTAATATTTTCATGAAAAATATTGCATCGTAGAATTGACATTTCAAGACAACAATTATATTAGGGCAATCAACATATCAATATAACCAATGATAAAGCCCAAATTAAAAGCTTAACTTCAAGCAGAATGCCCCAATTTTTCCTTCCTAAGAAATTATTATATTAACCTGTATATTCCCTAATAATTTCCAAGGAAATGGAAATTTCAAACTAACCCAGGTCTAAAGTAACTACAAATGAATACTTCAAGAGAAATAATTAATCTCATGTATAAAAATGAAAAATGTACTAATAGATCCCACGTAAAATAGTGAAAAAGTTGAAAGTTAATAATGAATAGCTAAATCAAATATGAGATAAAAATTTTAGATTATTGAGGAACGAGGGAGAATGAAAGACAATAAATACCAGCTGTGTTGATGCGCAGTTCTGGCTGATGTAGCACGTCAGTAGGCAATCTAATATGGACTTTGACGTGGACTTAAGTGGCAACCTACAAAAAAACCTTGCACCGATGTGGTACTCAGCCACATAAAACTCCGAAACGCAAGTTAGTACATTTTAGTTCGAGCTTGTGGTGAGCCGAGCTTAATTAAGTAAATGCAAGAGATTATCTACCTTTGAAAATGTGGGAGGAACTTGAACTTTTATAAAGGGAGTATTAGGAAGTGTGCCCTGCTGTCATGGCATCCATACGTAAGTTTCTACATTCCATCGGCAGTTAGAATCTTCTCCACATCGGAGCCGAACTAAGTTCTACTTCTGGATACATTGGCCCTTCCTCCTCGTCCTTGGCGTGTCCAGAAGTATATTTTGAGATGACTTGTGAGTATAAATACCAATAGTTAACACCCAGCTTAGAAATCACAAAATTAACCATAATGATTTGAAATGATTAAAAAGAGAGGATAGCAATTCAAATGTCATGGAAAGCCATGAACCGACCTGCTGGCATGTCGAGGTAAGTTTGGAGTACAACCAACTATTGCGTTCAACGGCTTAGGCCATGGGAAACGTAAGACCGATATCAATATCATATATTAGAAACAATCAACTTTTCAAAAAACAGCCAAGTATCACTACTACTATTCCTAATAAAAAACTAAGACTCGGAATGAGTGACCATCTAAACCTCTAAATAAGAGTTTTGAAACATCATAACTCGAAATCAGAGCATAAGGAGGCCAAAGGCAACAAAAAATTTAGAAGCAGCAAAAGAGCAAACCGAACATAAGATATAAGCAATGCAATAAAGAGCAAGAATAGCAAAAAAATAAAGACAAAAAGTAGTAGAGGTGAAAGAGGGAAATTCTCAATTTTAACAATTCAACTCACTGATCTTGAAGACGTCTAAAACCTGTAAGATAGAAATAGGAAATTAGAACAGTACCTGAGACTACAAGAGGGATCAAAGGGGTTCGATGTTTGTATGCGAAGCAAGAGGAAACAACAAAGGCAGAGAAAAGGGCAACCATATATACAGAGCATTTAGGATTTAGAAGTAATCGTATATTTAACCATCAATATATACGACCCACCAATATTTCAAGGTAACTATTATATGAAATCAACATATGCTTTACCATGCTTATTCCAAAGCAACAAGCATTCATTTTAGCCAACTATGTAACAAATATTTTTGATGCAGTAAATATCTTTAAGGCAAACTATTATATACAACTGTTATATAAAGACAAACACTTTAGGTCAACCAATATTTCAGGGTAACAATTATCATTGGCACAACCAATATTTCAAGCCAAGCAATTTATTAAGATGATCACTTTATACAGGCAACCATTCTAAAGCAACCAGTTGATCTAGGTAACAACATTTTGAGCGGACAACAATTATTTCGAGGCAGCCAAATATATTGGCCACCATATTACCAGGGTCTCCAATATATCGAACCACCAAATGTCGAGCCAAGCAATATTTCTATTATGGAAACACCAATGATCCACGACAACCAATATTTTTACCAAGGACACCAATATGACAACAATTAACTATTTTGTCAAAGCCATCACATTATCTCAAGGCAACAATTACAGAAGCAACCATAATCGGGACAATTCTATTCAAGCGACGTACCGATATTTCAGGACAATTCTATCGAAGCGACATACCGACCTTCCGGGACGATTCTATCGAAACGACATACCGACTTTCAAGGACG